TACCTGTTGGGTCAATATGTTCTTGAGTTTTAAGGAATGCTTAATGAATTTCCATTCCATGACCGGGCGAACAGTCTTGGGGGTAGACTGTGCGGCCAAAGCATCAATTGATTTCCGCACGGTACTTGGGACGTTCAGTTTCGGCGGGGACGCTTGGGCTTTATTACTTTTGTTAACGTGAGTCCAACCACCTACAGGATTTTTGGGAACCACTGTCTCATTCAAGGACTGTTCCCTGGGGGACCCAAGTTTACTGAGTTAGTCGATGACAGTCGATGTTAAGATGGTGCTGAGTTTCAGCACATCATCACTCGTGTTGTCACCGTCGATAACCGACCTGTCAGTATCCTTTTTCTTGTTTGCCCTATGCGTTCCAGCTTTGTTACCCGTCATGATGCTATCATTTACCAAATTCTTAGACAACTTATCTCTCAGACCTGTTAGTAAAGTAATGATGGTACCAAACATAACTACCGTATCAGTGTTACAGGTAACACATACCCACCTACGATCAGACTTGCTGAGTCTGCTATAGGCTGCTGCTGTTAGATCTGTATTAAACCTCAACCGCAACACACAGTCCTAATTTCTAGCACTAACTCCCACTTCGGTTTTGATTTTTGCATCGTAACTCTCAGTCTTTATAGATCCACCGGTATAACTTGACTGAATTGGCTTTGGCTTGACAAACTCTGTCTACTAGCGGTTAATCACTGATGTCTGTAAGTGGGAACTTACGTATATAAAGAAAAAACAAACTCACATACGAGTCTATCTGCTACTCTGAAATTCCAGCGTGCGAGCATTCCTTTCAAAAGTTGTATGAAAATAATACGTTGAAACCATTTCTTAATAAACGAATCTGAAATGAAGAATTAGTCAAGCTGTATACCAGGTTTGCATCGTTTCGCGGATGTACTAGTCTCGCTTTCCAAAGCTGAAGTCTACGTGCTTACATTGGAATTTAGAGCCTCGTCAAGTGTTGACTTAAAAAGATTTTTCGACTATTTTTGCTAAATTAAAACTGTCGGAATAGACTGACTTTTCCAAGCATTTTGTTTGAGGTTTCTTTTTGGTTTGGCCGCCCCTAACTCTCTTCCAACCATCACCAATACTAGTCAGCATAGCGTGTCGTGATAATCGGTGTTCAGGCATACGTCACACGTGGGCTAACCATCTCAGTCGATGAAGATTCACAACTTCATCAACTGATTTACCATCATTCCCTAATACCCTGTATCTAACCTCACTACTACCTATCCCAGCAGATGCGAGCAATATTTCTAAGGCATCTGTGGTCAAATACTAGTAACCTACGAGTATCTTCTACTCTTAATGGCCATGTTTCACAACCGTAAAGTAGAACAGAGCGAACTGATGCGCAGTATACTCGTCCTTTAATTGATAGACGGATATCTCGTCTTCGCCATAGGTGACGTAAGTTGGCAAAAGCCAAACGAGCTTTTCGAATCCGTGCTGAGATTTCGTCAGACACCAACCCATTAGGGCTGATCAGACTTCCAAGATAAGTGAAGTTGTCGACGCGTTCGACTACTTCACTCCCTATCCTTAGTTCAGGTGTTGATGCAGGCCAGTCCTGGAGTAACAATTTACATTTGGATGGGGAGAAACGCACCCCAAACATCCTGGCATTATTACTGAGTTCCAACAGAAGACTCTGCATTTTATCAGCGTCTTCACCAAACAGGACTATGTCATCTGCGTATTCTAAGTCGCTTAGTAGTCCCCCTGGTAGGAGATCAATTCCTGTAAATTCAGTCGAAGAGAGTGTTATTTCCAGCAACAGGTCTATAATGAAGTTAAACAAAAATGGGGATAGTGGACAGCCTTGATGGACACCACTTGAGGTTGTAAAATCATATGACAGTTCACCATAAGCTCTCACTCGATTGATGGTGTTCGAGTAAAGAGCCTTCACAAGGTTTATGTACTTCTCAGGTACACCTTTCAATGACAGACACTGCCACAGAACCTCTCGGTCTACAGAGTCAAATGCTGCTTTCAAGTCAAGAAAAACTATCATTGTCGGACACCGATAAGCATGTCTGTGCTCTAAAACTTGACGAATGGTGAATATGTGGTCGATACAGCCACGACCAGGTCTGAAGCCAGCCTGATTTTCTCGTGTTTGCAGTTCACGAGTCTTAGTTAGGCGCCTGATAATTATTGAGGCTAGTATTTTAGATACTATGTTAGTCAGACTAATCCCTCTATGATTATCGCAGGATGATTTTGACCCCTTTTTATATATTGGGACAATCAGTGATTGTGACCAGTCGGATGGGATTACATCCGTCTCCCAGATTTTAGCCAGAATATTAGTCAACCTAATCGCTGAAATTGGACCACCATATTTAAAGACCTCTGGAGCCAATCCATCTGGACCAGCTGCTCTTCCTCGTTTCAGATTACTTATAGCTTTTTGAACTTCAAGTAGGGTCGGGGGGCCTACTTCAATGTTCCATTCAGGTTTTCTAGGAGTAGTGGGTAGTTGTGCAGTAGCTGAAGGCCAGCTAAACTGCTCCTTAAAGTGTTCCGCCCATCGTTCTAAACGTTTGGGTTGAGAGTAGATAAGGGTTCCGTCCTTTTCCGAGATTGTCTCACTTACACTTGACTTCTTAATTCCGGTTTCTTTTATTAGTCAGTTGTTTCTGAAATTCGCATTTGGCTTTCTCGTCCTCCAGTTCAATCCTAATGGGTCTTCTTAGTGTACTTTTCCTGCGTCCATTGAGGCGCAGACAAATGCGCGCTCGTATTAAAGCGTGATCAGAGTCTAAACAAGTATTCCAATACGAGCGACAATCTTCTATTGAGCCTCTCCAACGATGACTGATGACAATATGGTGTATTTGAGTCCATCGTTGGTTTGGTGCAGGTGGTCGCCATGTTAGACGATGTCTCTCCTTATGCTTAAAATTAGTGCTTGTTAGAAATAAACGATTGTCTGAGCATAGTTGCAACAGACGATCACCATTATCGGTTCGTTGAGCCGGAATACTAAAACACCCACCTAAATGTCTTTCTGTTTGATTTAAGCTGCCTACCTGGGCATTAAAGTCACCCGCTACGACAACTATGTCTGAGCGCTTAGCTTTCTGAAGAAGCTCAGAGAGCTTTCTGTAAAAGTCATCTTTCACTTCATCATGGTTGCAGTCAGTGGGAGCGTAGGCAAAAACGACGAAAAGGCAACGACGTGTGTCCCTATCCTTCCGAGTTCTTACGGAGCCATTTAGCCGGACAGCACACAGGCTACTGTTAACGGGGATCCATTCTAGTAGTGCCTGTTCTGCCCTTGTACTTAGTGCTATGCTTACACCTGCAAGTCCACGAGAACTAGCCAACGGGTTGCCAGATACACGGAGCGTGTATTTCGTTGGCTGTCCATTTTGGCGATGTGAGGTCAAATGAATGACCACACTGGGATCTTGTATGCGTGTTTCGGAGACACAGCATACATCAATGGTACGAGATTCTAGGGTTTTAGCTAAGGAGGCCTGTTGACCGATTTGGCATAGGGTACGTACGTTGAAGGCTCCAATGTGTAGTTTGGAGCGAGGTTTTAGTAGACCTGGGACAGCGTTTCGCGCACTAGAATAGTTGGCCATGGTGACACTTGAGGAGGAAACCGAGAGAGGAAGTTTAGTGTTGAAAGTCAAGGTAGAAGGAATAGTAGGAATTGAAGAAGGAGATTGATAATGAATACAGTGGTTTTGAGTGCTGTTAGAGGTATGAGAGCAGTTATCACTTCCCGGTTGCCCACACCGTGGGAGGGTTCTTCTAGAGGTACCTGAAAAGGAAATTGGGTTAGAAGTGGTCTTAATGACCTGAGAGCGTGACCGCAGTGCCCAAGGGACAACTGCTTGAGGTCGGTCACACACGACCTTTTTGTGGGTAGTTTTTGTGTTAGCTCCGTTCTTCTTTGACATTTCTGTATTCAACGAAGACGTATTTCTGTTGCAATTTCCCTACATCCAGTAAGACGGATAAACGTGTTCTTATTAGGTGAGAACTAACCACTGATCCGTTTCAATTATGACTAATAGTGGGTTTTTAGCAATTCTTACCACATTTCTACTGATCTATTTTTGTCTAGCCATTAAATGTCATAATCTGATCAAGTACTTTGACCTTGTGCATCTATGCCTGTATTTCTATCTACTTGTAACTTATAATTTGTTTGTTTTCATGTATATGACTCTTAGACGTTGCGAGTAAAAAATTAACCATGAATTACCTGATTCACCAGGTACTTGGGTGTGAACTACATTCCAAGTGTCAGGGTTAATCATACTACTCGGGTGCCGGAACCGAGGTAGTTAAGACGGCGTTCGAATCTCGGATTTACTGGCTTCAAGTCGAACCGCTTGACCATAAGATCACCACTGCATCTTTTATAGTCTCTGCATAAAAAATATTTAAAATATTCGCTTCTAAAATACTTTCGTATTCGACGTATCTCATGTCACTACCAACGAGATCATTCGAAATATGTGAATTTAAGGAGGTTCTTTATTTTGTCACTCATTCTCATTCACTGGAATCAATTAAATGCTATAAAAGCCTATCTCTGTGCATCATTGAGTCAATGTGGCATGTCACCATGCATGCTTAAAGCGAACGTTTTCTCGAAATAAATTTTTGTCTGCACATATTTGTTACAGTCAGTCTTTGTTACCTGTCCGTTAAGTTGGGACACCACAACCTCTGTCGATCCGACATACCCTATTTACATTAAAACTACCCACCGTAGTAGCTATAAATGACAAATAAGTCTATTCTAGGAGGCTAAAAAGTTATTTTAAAAAACTAAATGTTTGGCAGTCGTGTTTATGTTAATAAGTACAACTCCACTAATCTTCAATTAAGTGAAAATCATTTGTAGTTAGCGGTTTAATCACGAATATTTTCTTATACCCTTCTATTTCTGTTATCGTAATTTTTTCCCTACACTAATCTTAACTGATTGTCTTTTTATGTAGCGGAAATTAGTTGATCCTACACCAAATCGTTTTGAACAGCTTGTTACTCAAATGAAATGGCGTCTTAATGAAGGTGGAGGCAAAGCCATTTATAAATTAGGTGTAGATGATGATGGTCATGTCAGTGGACTTCGTCCATCTGAATTAATCAGTTCGTTAACAACACTTGAACGAATGGCAAAGCGTCTAAACTCTACTCTTCATCCTCTCAGAGAGTGTGTTATTGAACCAACAACTATTTCATCAGATAAAGAATGTCGTAAAGCTATTGAAGTGCTTGTTCGTCTAGCGCCGACAACTAATGATGGTGTAAGTCGAATGTTATATTTAGTATTATTTTATCAAATTTTTTTCTTGCGATGTAACTCACCGGGTACATATCCGTGTACTCGGCTTTAGACTACACTAGGTGTGTGAGCTAATAAAATCCTAACCGGTTGCCTAAACCAAAGTAGGTAGGACAGTATTCAAACCTTTGAATAATAGTCAAAAATGGGGTGCTGTAGCTACCAGGCTATTTTTTCAGGCCGACTAGAATCTTCGTTTTACAAAGTCCAATAAGTCTATACTAACTTTAATCTGACAATAATTATCTCCACAAATTGATATCAACTAAAGAAAATAAAGGTATTAGACAGCGCTTGCACTCTAGAAAATTTTATTTCTACTTTTACCCCTCTATTACTGTTGATGTGATTACATTTACTGTGCTCTTTTTGCTTAATACATAAATTTCAAGATTGCCTATTTGGGACGATACTCATTTTTTGCAGACCTATCATAGCTTATTTCTGTAAAATGAGAACTAAGAAACTGCTCTTTTGAGTAAGTTTAATAAAAAGTGTCTATAGTTCCACATCCGAGCTGACACACTTCGTGACAACACTAGGACGAAATTATCATGGTAAATAACAGAAAAAACTACTGATTGAAATAAAAAGTGACCAACAGCTTTGATCCTCTTCCTCATCTGCGATCATTTGAACTAGTCTAAACTATCTGCCTTTTTACACACTTTAAACTCTTCATTATTTTTATGTGGCGCGGTAGTTAAAACCATCGACTTTTAATCAATTCGGCCTCAGGTTCAAATCCTATCCCATGTACGTTAGTTTACTCTGCTAGGAGGGAATTTTTTTCACAGTTTGCCACAAAATCAAGTACATAGACCTGTGACTTGGTAAACCCTAATCTTTCACATTAATGCTTATACTCTTACTACTTCTATCACTATGGAATTTGAATCGACAACTGCATCTCTGTGCTAATGTGGTATAGCAACTCGAACTGATGTACGTACGTACAAAGTTCTACGATGTGACTGACTGACTGACTGACCTGATAAATAGATTGCATTATTCTGTATGATTATCATACTAAATGTTTCTGTAAATTTACTTATATAACTAGTGAATATGGTTTACTTCCCTATTATTAAACACATGATTGGTGTGATATGGTGTGACAGCTGATAATAATTACTAATCTAATTGTTAGTTATTAACATATGAATTCATTTGTGAAAATATTAGGGAAATAGTAGAATGATTATTCTTTTTTTTCTATTAATGTTACAACTTACTATTTTAGATCCTGATAATTGTTTGTGTAATAAAATAATAATAATAATCAAATGATAACCGGCCATGATCGCAACGTGATTTAACTTACTTGTTACTTTAATCTATTCTAGTTAAAGTCTTTATTCCCCTAAGATTCTATCACTATGGAAAGATTTATTCATTAGATAGTATCATTATCATCATCATTCAGATTCATTCATCCTTTGTCTTTCCTGAACTTAGAAAGTAATTTAAATTTCTTATTCTACAAATTTTTATGGGTTCATCGTGATGTTTTTTTTATCTGCCTAATGTTTTTCTTTAACCATCGTTGGTCACCGGCTACCATGGGACTGCATCTCCTTACGATGCTCCATTGCCTTGTGGATTAGACCTTTAGGTCAAAGGCTCGGGATGTGGCCCCCTAAGGAAACTACGTTATTCAGTTTGGGCACCTGGGTAGTATCACATCCATCACACAAATCAAATGAGATTTGTGTGGCGCATATATATCTGGTGCCCTTTTGTACCAATATTTATGCGCTCAACTAAATTAATAAACGCAAGCAAGATTATCTGTAATGGTTATTTTATTCATAATTGATTATCAACCTATAAATAACGTACTCTGTAATCATTAATCAGTTTATTTATTTATTTATTTAAACACATAAATATTGATACAAGGAAGAACCAGATAAATATGCGCCACACAAACGTCATTTGATTTGTGTAAGGGCTACGATACTGCCCAGGTGCCCAAACTGAAGCAGGATTAATCAGTTAGTTATTGCATATAGCACCTTATAGGAATAAGCTTCGGTGACTCACTTTTTAATGATCACATTTTTAGTTTAATTCGTTTGTTATGTATAATACACAGTGATAACTCGTGATTTTAAATAAAAAAATTTCACTTATATAATTATTGTGTTGATTTATTGTATCCAGTGTTCTAAACAAATCCCCTGGACACATAAGATATCAATATGTGATGGGTTTTTTTTTCTTTTCTGAGTTGCCAAAAACACTATTATTATTATCTTCTCATAAGAATGTCGAACATTTTTTTGTTTTTACTCTCAGTTATATTTAAAGTATTTATTATTCAGCAGTACGTGCGTCACTTGACCCCCTAGATGCCCTGGTACGGCCGAGAGTGGGGGAAGTTAAATCTCCCTCTATAAATGCTCTCACATGGTCACGCGTATATAGCCTCTGTCAGGGAAGTCCTACTCACTGCCTTCTCACGATATTACTGTTGTTTACGAAATTGAGAGGATGAAAAGCCGATGTCCGGCGCTTTAACCGGGTCGGTGAACACGGAAAGTCTACCTAGGTGAGTTGGAAAACCCTCATTCAAAACCAACGGTTCACATGGGCTCCAGGATCCTTAGAGAACAAATGGAGTATTAACCAATTAATGGTCACCGGCTACCATGAGACTGCATCTCCTTACGATGCTCCACTGCCTTGTGGATCAGACCATTAGGTCAAAGGCTTTGTGTGTGGCCCCCTAATAAAACTACTTGCTTCGGTTTTGGCACCTGGGTAGTATCCCAGCCCACACACAAATCGAATAATTTATGTGATGCATATCTATTTGGTGCCCCTTTGTACCAATATTTATGTATTCAAATAAATAAATAATAACATTTCTGATGATCTGGTGTCTGACGAAATCTAGACACAGATTCAGAAGATCTGATTGGCTTTTGCCAACTTGCGCCCCTTGCGTTGTAGGCGAGATATACGTTTTCTAACCAAATGTCAATTTTCCTACGCATCAGTTTGCTTTTTTTTACTTCATGGATGTGAAGCATGACGATTAAGAGTAGAGGATATTCTTAGGTTACTGGTATTCGATCATGAGCGTGTATTTCGGGACCGTGGAGTAAGCAATGTCTAGGTTAGGAATAGAGTACGAATGATAAGGTAGTAAATCTCCAACTCAGGTGGTTGAGACATGTGTTACAAATGTCCATCCACTACCTACCTTGACGGGCTATGTGTGGTTTCTTTCATTTAGTAATTATTCTCATGGTCTTTATCCTATTCTTCACCACAATTTATGTATATTGTGTTTTCAGTGATTAAATGTGGAGTATTTGAAAAATAATAAATACTATCAATTTGATTGGTTCTTCATTTCTTGTTCGTCATTAATATTCATGTGTTGACCATCTTGATAAACCTTTTTTTATTACAGTGAAAGTAACTTCTTGAAATATTGGTTCCACAAGTAGTTGATTAAGTCAACTAATTTAAAAATGATACTCATACCTTAAGAAGTAATAACTATATCTGGTTATGCAAACCTCAGAAAACGAAATCTGTAGTCTATCGTTTAAGTGCTTACACTAATATAATGGCCTTCGAAATCGACTTGGCAGTTATTTTAACCAAAGAGTTAGAGACTTTAAGTGGCATGGCTGTGAATTATTCTCTATGACTTACTTACTTACTTACGCCTGTTACCCCTCGTCGAGGAGCATAGGCCGCTCACCAGCATTCTCCATCCAACTCTGTCCTGAGCCTTACTTTCCAGTTCTTTCCAGTTGCTATTCATCCTTTTCATATCGGCTTCTATTTCCCGGCGTAGTGTGTTCTTTGGCCTTCCTCTCTTCCGTTTCCCTTCCAGATTCCAAGTTAGGGATTGAGTCGTGATGCACATTGGTGATTTCCTCAATGTATGTCCGATCCACTTCCAACGTCTTTTCCTAATTTCCTCTTCAGCTGGAAGCTGGTTTGTCCTCTTCCATAAAACGCTGTTGCTGATAGTATCCGGCCAGTGGATGTTGAGTATTTTGCGTAGACAACTGTTTGTAAATACTTGTACCTTCCTGATGATGGCCGTAGTAGTTCTCCACGTTTCAGCTCCATACAGTAGGACTGTCTTGACGTTCGTATTAAAGATTCTGACCTTGAAATTGGTTGAGAGTTGTTTTGAGTTCCATATGTTCTTCAATTGTAGAAATGCTGTCCTTGCTTTGCCAATCCTCGCCTTTACATCTGCATCCGATCCCCCTTGTTTATCAACGATGCTCCCCAGGTACTTGAATGTTTCCACCTCTTCCAGAGTTTCGCCATCAAGTGTGATTGGGTTGGTGTTCTCCGTGTTGCATTTGAGAATCTTGCTTTTTCCTTTGTGAATGTGGAGGCCTATCGATGCGGAGGCTGTTGCTACATTTGTGGTCTTCATCTGCATTTGTTCGTGTGCATGAGAGAGGAGGGCTAGGTCATCTGCGAATTCCAAATCATCTAATTGATTCTGAGAGGTCCATTGTATTCCGTATTTCCCTTCAGATGTCGAATTCTTCATAATCCAGTCAATCACTAGAAGGAAGAGGAATGGGGAGAGTAGACAGCCTTGTCTGACTCCGGTCCTTACTGGAAATACATCTGTCAGCTGTCCTCCATGCACCACTTTGCACTGTAATCCATCGTATGAGTTTTGGATAATGTTGACAATCTTTTCAGGAACTCCATAGTGTCGAAGAAGTTTCCATAATGTTCTATCCACGCTGTCAAACGCCTTCTCATAGTCAATAAAGTTGACGTATAGTGATGAGTTCCACTCAACTGATTGTTCAACGATGATCCGTAGTGTCGCAATCTGGTCTGTGCACGACCGATCCTTACGGAATCTAGCCTGATGATCCCTAAGTTCGGCGTCTACTGCGTCTTTCATCCGATTCAGCAGCACTCTGTTGAAAACTTTTCCTGGTACTGATAACAAGCTCTCTATGACACAGGTGCATTTACTCTTTGTCTTCTCTTAGCCCTTGAGCTTCTTAATTACCTTTAAGTTCTTTTTCATTTCGTGTATCTATATTTTCTTCTCGAATCATATCTTCTGTCCCCGATCTTTTCTACTTCCACTTGTAATGTTACTGTTTATTTTACCCTGGAATATCACTATACTGATGTAATGTAGCAACTTGAATCCCTTAGGTTCTATGTGTTTTATTATTAGCTTTATTCAATATTATATTTTTGGTACAGTATAGAATTCTCAGCACAAAGTACTTCAGCAAGTTTCCGTCTCTTACTTCTTCTTCCTTGCTGACAATAAATATTGAGTGATCGCCAGTTAGAAGTTAGCAGCCCAGTCAATCGACATCTGGATAATGTACATTATTTTCGTTGTATATTGCCAGCAACCACGATATCTCTGATTAGGCCTTCTGTAACCTTTACAGCAAAAGGTCTTACATTTTTCAGAAACGCACCTGAATAGGTTGTGCGATTAATAGGCATAATAATGTATTAAAACAAACGAAATTAGATAACTTGTTGAAGTATCTAGATGACAGGAACAGGTAGCCCAGATGTTTAAACAGGCCGCCAATATGTTGCATATGAGTGATTACATTTATGTATCATAGATCGTATATATTACAGTTGGAGTTTTAGATTGGTCACTCTATGTTAACGGCATTAATATAAAATTTAATCAATTTTTACTTTGTTTGAATAATGATAACCGCCTTTTTCAAACATCTTTCACCACATACTCATATTATCTTTCGAAACTACAATTACTGCTTGCCTTATTTAATTGATCGACTTTTGTTTCAGTGTATGATGTCATTGGTTTACTGTTTGGTTCTATCAAAATCTTGACACGGATAGTAAAGCCTATTAGAGTTTTATTTTCCAACGTACACAAACCATGACACACAAGATATTTGGCTGCTCATCAAATTCCAAGTATACTGCACAGCAGTCTGTTATGTCAGTGAAAGTCAGTCATTCAGCTACAACATAGGACCAGGCACATATATGCATCGGTCCAAGTTGCCATACCTCGTTAGCACAACAAGATGAACACCGGATTCATAGTAGTTAATTTAGTGTTGGTAGTAGTATATAAATTATAGGTTGTATATAAGGATATAGTACAGGAAGGAAGAGAGATATGAAGCAATTTTAGTCTCAAGGTTTAAGGGAAGATAAAGAGTGTATACACCTACGCCATTGTGATCGATTCTGAGCCATGTCACACAGAGTCTCCAACCATTGGTTACGATAGTCACGCGGACCCCAACCAGGTAGTCTGCATCTGCCAACATGGCTCAGACTAGAAGTTAGTGACTTCAAACACTGATGCCATGTTTTGGTTTGGCCGCCCTAACTCTCTTCCAACCATCACCAATACTAGTCATCATAGCGTGTCGTGATAATCGGTGTTCAGGCATACGTCACACGTGGCCTAACCATCTCAGTTGATGATGATTCACAACTTCATCAACTGATTTACCATCATTCCCTAATACCCTATATCTAACCTCACTACTACCTATCCCATTATCCCAGCAAATGCGAGCAATATTTCTAAGGCATCTGTGGTCAAATACTAGTAACTTATGAGCATCTTCTACTTTTAATGGCCATGTTTCACAGCCATAAAGTAGAACAGAGCGAACTGCTGCGCAGTATACTCGTCCCTTAATTGATAGACGGATATCTCGTCTTCGCCATAGGTGACGTAAGTTGGCAAAAGTCAAACGAGCTTTTTAAATTCGTGCTGAGATTTCGTCAGACACCAACCCATTAGGGCTGATCAGACTTCCAAGATAAGTGAAGTTGTCGACGCATTCGACTAATTCACTCCTTATCCTTAGTTCCGGGTGTTGACGCAGGCCAGTCCTGGAGTAACAATTTACATTTGGATGGGGAGAAACGCACCCCAAACATCCTGGCATTATTACTGAGTTCCAACAGAAGACTCTGCATTTTGCCAGCGTCTTCACCAAACAGGACTATGTCATCTGCGTATTCTAAGTCGCTTAGTAGTCCCCCTGGTAGGAGATCAATTCCTGTAAATTCAGTCGACGAGAGTGTTATTTCCAGCAACAGGTCTATAATGAAGTTAAACAAAAATGGGGATAGTGGACAGCCTTGATGGACACCACTTGAGGTTGTAAAATCATATGACAGTTTACCATAAGCTCTCACTCGACTAATAGTGTTCGAGTAAAGAGCCTTCACAAGGTTTATGTACTTCTCAGGTACACCTTTCAATGATAATGTCAGTGAAATGTGACTTTTAAATTAAGGGTTATAAATAAACTTCATGTATTTGTCTGTCTTATTTATCTAGGCATCTCTTAAATCCCACAGAGAACACCAGTTCTCTCAAGATTACAATTATGCCTTGCTTAATGACTGCTAACTAATATGAAACATAAATCGAGCAGGGTTTCCTACTGAATACCTTCAACTGCTTAATATTTCATTCATTGCTCATATTATAAAAATCAACCAATCGTTATTGGGGTCTGATGTTACATCTCATACTGAATATTTTGTATAATATTCATCTACTGTTCTATTAGATTTTTGACTAGTTCTTCTTTTTCTAGCTGTATAACTATGTCGTATCTAGTTTGAATAGCTGTTAATAAAACATATTAGAGATTAACATTTTTTTTAAAAAGGTTCGAATATTGAAAGCTCCAACAAGTAGTTTGTAGCGCGGTTTTTAGAAGACTTGGAATAACACTTTATGAATTGGAATCGATAGTATGTGAGGAAAAAGGATGAAGCGACGGAATAAGGGTTGGTAAAAGAAAATAAGAGCGAAATATTATTATGAACAAGGTGATTTTAAGTCCTGATAGGGGTGTATAGGTGGTTGTCACTTCCAGATCGTCCACACTATAAAAGAATGCTTCTTTTTAAGATACCTGGAAGTAAAATCTCGTTGGGGGGGGGTAATCTTGACCAAATGGGAGTCCTAACATAGACTCCAAGGGACAAGTGCTTGAGACTGGTCACATATGGCCACTTTTTTAGCTCCGTACTTTTAAGGCTTTACGTCTGGCGAAGGAAATCCATGGGAGAAAATGAGATAAGCTACATTTAGGGTCAACTCTTCCTAACATCTTCCATTTTGAGGAAGTAAAATCTTTGAAAATGGTGGTATTCTGAAGGGAACCTCTCACTCCCATTACATTCGCTTGCAATTGAAATCGCGACTCCACTCTTGAACTTTAAGTTTATTGCTTTTAGTCTTACTTCTTCACAACAGACCTACTCGACACAGTAATACCTAAATGGAACAAGTATTTCTTTCACTGAGGCTCAGCTGAATCATCATTAGTATTCGAGTCAGACCATCATACCAAGGTAGTAGATGCATTCGTGTTGTATAACTTTTAGGATGAAATTGTCAAAAAAAACATCTTTCCAACTAATCATTCTTCTTTCTGTTTTGATCCACTTACTATTTTTGTGAAATTCTTATAGAAACTTCATATTCATTTCTCTGATACCAAAAAGCTTAGACATATTTTCAAAATGGTTATCGTAAATAATTTTTTTAATTGCCATTAATGTTAGTGTTATATCCCGATAACAATAGTGAGTGGTAACTTTGGGATCCATTTATGGACCAATATTATGTATATATTTATCGTCGTATATTTGCTAAATAACTGAACTATTCATATAGCCTCTACCAAGGAAGTAATACTCACTGCCTCCTCGTGGCATTACTGTTGTTTACGAAATTGAGAGGACGAAAAGCGAATGTTGGACGCTTTAATCGGTTTCGTGGATACGGAGAATCGACCTAGGAGAGTTGGGAAACCCTGATTTCAAACCAATGGTGCACATGGACTCTAGGATCCTTAGGGGAAAAACGGCGTATGAACCAATTATTGGTCACTGGCTACCATGCGACTGCATCTCCTCATGTTGTTCCACTGCCTTATGGATCAGACCCTTAGGTCGAAGGCTTTGGGTGTGGCCCCCTTAGGAAACCACGTTCTTCAGTTTGGGCAGCTGCGTTTAAATAAATAATAAATAAACATAAACTGTTCATATTTATGTTCCCCGTATCATGAGCTTTATTTTGACCTATAGACTATCATTATACGATTTACCACTCTTGAGTTATCCCTAGTCTATTAATTACTGCCTCCCACATTTGGCTAAACCTTGTACAAATGCCATTATTTTCTATTTCATTGGTACGATGTAGTCAGTCTGTTTGGTATATAAACTCAGTATGTTTGAAATACAATGCTTCATACCGCAGTTGTTATTATTGGTGTTCTGGACTTAACTGGCTGGGCTAGGCAGAAAGCAGGACCGATAAAGCACTCTAGACTGCTCGTACGGTTTTCGTGTGTCACTGTTCCAATCGATAATTTGCTGCTCTCTGATTAGCGGTCTTATCACGTTCAACGTTAACAAGGCATCCATTCGGCCACAAGTTATAACAGTTAGTGACTATATTATGATTCTCTTCCAAAACAAGAACTTTTCGCATAAATTAAAATTAAAAATTTTTTAATATAAACAAAATTCTCATTGTTTTATTTCTTTTTTTTTATTATTTAAATTATCTAGTCACCAGATTTATGTGTAGCTTTAGTTGGTGGAATGGATTCTGGGAAATCAACATTAATTAGTGTATTAACTGATGGTGAATTGGATAATGCACGTGGTAAAGCACGATTAAATTTATTTCGTCATTTACATGAAGTACAATCAGGTCGTACAAGTAGTTTAAGTCGTGAATTATTAGGTTTTGATATAAATGGTAATGTTACTAATTATAAATATGCTGATGGTAGAGTTTATCGACGTTCAACAGAAGAAGTAAGTTTGATTGTTAATGTTGTTTGTAAGCAATGAATTTGATAAGAATTATTTATTTAAACACATAAATATTGGTACAAAGGGGCACCAGATATATATGCACCACACAGATCTCATTTGATTTGTGTGAGGGCTGTGATACTGACCGGGTGCCCAAACCGAAGCAGGTGGTTTTCTTAGGGGACCACACCCCGAGACTTTGACCTGATGATCTGATCCACAAGGCAGTGAAGCATCGTGAGGAGATGCATTCCCATGGTAGCCGGTGACCAACAATTGGTTCATACACCATTTGTTTTCTCAGGATACTGGAGCCTATGTGCACCATTGGTTTGGAATCAGGGTTTTCTAACTACCCTAGATGAACATTCCGTGTCCACCAACCCGGTTAAAGTGCCGGACATTCGCTTTTCGTTCTTTTAGTTTCAAGAACTACACCCCCGCCACGAGAAGGTAGTGAGTAGGACTTCCCTGGCAGTGGTTATATACGCGTGGCTGTGTGAGAGTATTTCGCGAGAGAGAGAGCGGACTCTCCCCACTCTTGGCCAAACTAGGACATTTGTGGGCAATAAATAAATACTACGATTAAATCTATTTCGTCATTTACATGAAGTACAATCAGGTTGTACATGTAGTGAATTAGGTTTTGATACAAATGGTAATGTTACTAATTATAAATATGCTGATGGTAGAGTGTATCGACGTTCAACAGAAGAAGTATATTTGATAAGAATAATGTAATTAAACACACACAAAAAAATTTTTCAATTTCATCGTCGTTTCTTTTCATTAATTGGTTAATTTATATGTGTCACCCACGCTTTACTTTCTGATTGTTCTCTAACCACATGATTATTTGGAATTTCATAGAGAAACTATGCAATTCATCTTAGAAATAATTTCGTCAGCTATTTAGTTGAATTTGATTAGTTTTCTCAAAGCTAAATAAAATGTAAACATTGTATGATAATGTGAAAATGTTTGTGCAAATAAATCTTCCATGTATGCATATATATATATATACTACTTAAATGCCACTTTGTAAATGCAGTTTGCTGAGATATCAGGCTCAGTTCAATAGAACCTGTCGCATAAGTTTATGGCTGTCTATTCTCGCGACATGTTTTTATCTTGTCATAGATATTCAGCTACAAATCAATACTTTCTTTAGTTAATGTTTTGGGATTTAAATGTGACCAAATTGGTCTCATCAGCCCTTGTGGTCTGGTGTGTGACGAAATCTCAACACAGATACAGAAAGCTCATCTAGCTTTTGCCAACTTGTGTCATTTATGGCGTAAGCGAGATATCTGTCCAGCAACAAAAGGACGGGTTTACTTTGCAGCTGTTCGTTCCGTCCTACTTTATGGCAGTGAAACATGGCCGATAAGAGTAGAGGATATTCGTAGGCTACTAGTATTCAATCATAGGTGTCTTCGACGCATTGCTCGTTTATCCTGGGACCACCGGGTAAGTAATGCAGATGTTAGGAAACGAGTACTAGGTAAGGATGGCAAATCGATTGATGAAGTAGTGAAACTTCATCAGTTGAGATGGCTGGGACATGTGTTACGTATGCCCAAACACCGACTGCCCCGACGTGCAATGCTTTATGGTGTAGGAGTAGGTTGGAAGAAAGCTAGGTGCGGCCAGACCAAAACATGGCATAAATCCATGGAGTCGCTGACAATTGGACTGGGCCATGTTGGTAGGTGTAGACTACCTGGTTGGAATTGGCGAGATGATAGCACTATGGGATTTGAATCAAAAACTGCATCTCTGTGCTAATGTGGTATGGCAACTCGAACTGATGTACATACGTACGAAGTTCTACGTTGTGACTGACTGACTGATAGATATCCAGCTACAAATAATACCTTCTTTGGTTAATATTCTGGGAGTTTGTTCCTTTACTTATAAAACACTTCTCTCACTAAGTGTGCAAATGATGTAATCCTGTTTGATAAATACCTACAAAATCCTAAATCTTGTAAACACAAGTGAAAATGTGGAAATTTTTAAAATACATATATCATCTAAATGTAATATGTTGCTTTAAAAATTGATTTGTGTTCTTGTATACTTACTTACTTACGCCTGTTACTCCACTCTGTCCTGGGCCCTCATTTCTATCCAATGGTTGTTCAGTCTTCTCATATCTGTTTCCGTTTCTCGGCGTAATATGTTCTTTGATCTTCCTCTTTTCCTTTGGCCCTCAGGATTTCATATGTGGGCTTGTGTTGTGACGCAGTTGGGTGATTTCCTCAAAGTGTGTCCTATCCACTTCTAGCGCTTCTTCCTGATTTCTTTCCCACTGGAATCTGGTTTGTTTTCTCCCACAGTAGCTTGTTGTTGATAGTGTCTGGCCAGTGGATCCGAAGTATCTTGCGTAGATATGTTAATAAACACTTGTATTTTCTGGATGATGGCTTTCGTAGTTCTCCATGTCTCCACCCTATACAGTAGAACTGTCTTGACATTTGTATTGAAAATTCTAATCTTGGGGTTGGTTGACAATTGTTTTGAGTTCCAGATATTCTTCAGTTGTAAATATGCTACTCCTACTTTGCCGACCCTCGCCCTCACATCTGCATCAGATCCACCGTGTTCTTGTTTATTATCATCTCATATAATGCAAATTAATCGAATATATTGACAAAACTTATCTTTGGCGTTTGATATGCTTTGGTGCATCAAAATTTAACTAAATCTTTGCACAGGTACAGAAATAGTCGTTTACTTTTTATAGAGTGAATCTTGTGTACAACAGTTCACTCTGTATTGCTTTGCAGATTAGAAACATTACCTTCGAATATTGAAAGCAAATGTATGTTCCAAGCATTATATCGTATATATCTTAGATTAGTTGATCATCTTTGCTGAATACAAAAAGTGAATTTAAATGTAGTGTATTGGAAAACTAATTAATAAAGCTATAGACCTTCATCAAACGAGATGTTTCTAATCTTTTTTTTTATTCCCTGCTACCACGTTGTTATTAGTTGTACTTGAACTCTGATTCCTCAATATTTCGTGTAGATACCGTTTTTATCAGAAGGGGTTTTGTGGAGATTTAGTATTTTCATAGTTGAAAGCATGAGTCAATTGAAGCTAGACCACCATGGAAACACTGGACGGCGTTTCGTCCTATTGCGGGACTCCTCAGCAGTGCACATCCACGATCCCGCACTCACGAGATTCGAACCCAGGACCTACCAGTCTGATAATAATAGTAATAATAATAATAATATGCTCACTAGTGATTGACTTCGAGAGGTAAATCCAGGAGTTCTAGTGAGAAGCAGTGACCAGTGGAGTTCAAACCAGATCTGTTGTGAGATATCATATCAATATACCATATCAATCAACGTCTCCAATCAGTGATGATAGCGATTATCGTGCAGACCTCAATCAGGTAGTCTTTGCTTAGACTTATGTAATACATCTCCTAGCCGCCACCTTACTCGATGAAGATTCACTACCTCATCAAGCGATTCGAAATATTTACGTGAAATCCACCTTATGTACACTAATTTTCTTCTTTGAACTGTAAGCAGTCAAAAATGTAGTGGGAAATGCATAAATACTGTACAAATTTATCAATCATTGCCATGGATGATGCTTAAAGTAGAAACAGTGCTGATATTCACATAATTATGATCAATTTTGGTATTTAGTAGTATTGTTTTATGAAGTTAGATTTTTGTATCCAGATTGCTTGATGCCCCAGGGCAATCAAACATAGGACAAATGATAAATGAAAGACGCTGACAGGCACGTCATTGATCAAGATTTGGTTTCACTTTCTGAGGGAATAGACATGTGCTATCGCTTGAAAATATGTCTTTATGGGGAACATGTATTTACGCTTTTAATTGAGTTGTGCTCACAATCTCCATTCATTCGGCCAATAAACGCTCGCCCGCTCACTCTTGGTTTTTCACTGAAGTTACTGGTTTGGATACCTATATAATAAGCATGTAAATCAGTATCAAACTTAGACGTCTGTATAACATAACTTTAGAACAACATATGTGAGCATGGTATGGGAATCTTTAATATTCTAACATAACTTTGTCCAACTTTGTTTTTCGTCCATTTATTTACCATTTATAGCTTTGTGTACTAAGCGTCAAACCACACTTTAAGCGTGAGAACCAATGAAACTACCTGGCTACCCGAACCAAAGTATGCGGGATGGGGTTTGAGCCTTGATGGCTAAATCCCAAACATTTCGAACACTCACCCATTACTGTTGAAATCTTGGTTCGACTCGTGGACATTCTGTGTGTAAAGTAAACACAATAACCATTGCACTATCAAACCCTTGGTAGTAGATAATTTTGAATGCTACTTGAGATGATGAAAAGAGAGGGGAGGCTACATAATTTAAGTTGACTAGATATGTTGGATATTAGAACTGTCAATTATTTCTTATTCAACTTCTAACATGTAAGGATGGCTCCTTGGTACACTCTTGGAAACCTCAAGAAGCCCAGAAAGAGCCGGACATATTCCATCCAATCACTGCTAGGGGGGATATTCTAAAATGTCGACGTGTAGCTTCCCTATTGGATGATTAAGAATGACCCCTTATTGGCCGTCCGAAACGATAATTTACTTTCAGTCAAAAAAACTATAAATACATTAGATTTCTGTACTATACTTTGACACTGTTTTGGGGAATAAAATTCCTACTTACTAGTCTTCTGCCTAATTGTGTCACAAGACAAGTCCTCACATGGAATCCTGAATGTCAAAGGAAAAGAGGAAGACCAAAGAACACATTACGCCGAGAAATAGAGACAGACATGAGAAGAATGAACAAAAACTGGATAGAACTAGAAAGGAAGGCCCAGGACAGAGTGGGTTGGAGGAAGCTGGTCGGCGGCCTATGCTCCATTGAAAGTAACAGGCGTAAGTAAGACTTCTGCCTTCTCTCTTGCGACGTTGCGGGTTCGATCGTTCAAGTAGTCCAGTAGTAGTACGCGGCATAGTAAGAATCAAAGCTCTAGATATAACAAACATTTATCTGAGTGAACGAAACATTAACTTTTCATATCTTTTGTTTTTCTTTTCTTTTCAAGGTTGTTCGAATGTCATCCAATTTATTAACTTTACTTGATTTAGCTGGACATTCAAAATATCAACGTACAACATTAGCTGGTATTGCTTGTAATCAACCAATGATGGGTATTTTAGTAATATCTGCAACTATTGGTTTAAGTAGTATAGGATTAGATCATATACAATTAATTTATTCATTAAATTTACCAATGATTATTGTATTAACTAAAATTGATCAATTATCTAATGGAATAGAACAAATGAAACGTATTCAAGCAATTTATCGTCAATTAGTATATCAATTTAAACAAATTCAAAATGCATGGTCTTATAGTTTACCATCATCAGCGGCATCACCATTGATATCACGAACGAATTCCGTTTTAAATCATTGTCAATTGAATTCAATTAGGTAATTCAACTGTGCCATTTTTAAAAAGTTGTGTTTTTTTTGTTGTTGTCAAAATGTCAGTTTTTGTACTTTAAGCTGTACTATGTAAAATACCTATAAAGTACTTTTTGTTTTCAAAATAATTGTATTCACTCATGATTGTTTTTTTCGTTAGGAAATTCATAAAACTTTTGCAACAACCATCGTTTAAAGAATCTATGTCATGTAGGGACAGGTATCTACTTCAGTACAATGAAAGATAATAGCGCGATTTCGTGGATTGGTTTAGGTTAGACATTAATACCGTTGGTTGCCGACCGACTCAGCTGTCTATCGGTTAAGTGCTCTGGCACGAGACCGGTAGGTCCTGGGTTCGAATCTTGCGAGGTGGGATCGTGGATGAACACTGTTAAGGAGTTCCATAATGGGACGAAAAGGCCGTCCAGTGTGTCCAGGTTTTCCATAGTGGTTTAGCTTCAATTGACTCATGATTTCAACTATAAAATTACGAAAATCTTCACAAAACCCCCTTCTGTTTAAAGAAAAAATTGTAAAGATTATTCAATTTGTATGTAGTTTTGCATCATGAAATCTATTTATTATAATAATGGTGTAAAAGTAGAATAGAAGAGAGCTTTAGGGTAAACAAATTGAGGTACAATATCAGTACATGAATTCATTGACTATTGGACAGTAAGTACGTGTACACTACTTGATGGTCGTTCTGTAAATTCTCAAGTTATATTCTTTATCTTTGGTCACTTTTACTTTTACAAATACTACAACACACACTTAGTATTCCTTGTTTGAATCTTCCCATTGATGTTTTAGGACTGCAACTGGTCAGTCTCTTATTGACATATAGGCATAATATGTGTGTTGCCTCGATATAGCCTTAATTCACAAGCATTATAAGCAGAGATGGATAGTGGCTAGCAGTGTAATCCAGGACGCGCGTTTCGTCCTATTTGGGAAGATTCAAACAAACAATACTAAGTGAATTTAAACTTCACCCCATCGCACAAGCAAGTGGTTATCAGGACTCAGTAGCTGAGTGGATAACGTGATGACGTTTGAAGAGAAAGATAATGGGTTCGAGTCCCAGAGTGAACATCAACTCTGAGATGCAGATACATCCAGCTGATGCGTCCTGGATTCCACTGCTAGCCACTATCCATCTCTGCTTATAATGCTTGTGAATTAAGGCTATATCGAGGCAACACACATATTATGCATATATATGTCAATAGTTTATCCATTAAATATACACTTTTTCGTATTTCTATTTCTTCACTCTCTATTTCTTTTTTTTTGACCTACTTTTCTCTCTCATTATAATCATCACTTTATCTAAATAAACGAAAAACTGATTATCACATAGATCAAAGAAAAGAAACTACAAATAGATCGTTTGTTGTTGTTTAAAAATGACATGAATAGTTGGTTTTGGTGAGTTTATATTAAAAGAAACATGTTGGAATAATGTACATCAGTCAAATAATTTTATTTTATTTTATTTAAACACAGAAATATTGGTACAAGGAAGCACCGGATAAATATGCGCCTCACAAATCTCATTCGATTTGTGTGAGGGCTGTGATACTGCCCATGTGCCCAAACCAAAACAGGTGGTTTTCTTAGGGGACCACACCCCGAGACTTTGACCTGATGATCTGATCCACAAGGCAGTGAAGCATCGTGAGGAGATGCATTCCCATGGTAGCCGGTGACCAACAATTGATTCATATGCCATTTGTTCCCTCAGCAGGATACTGGAGCCAGTCCATGTGCTCCATTAGTTTGGAATCAGGGTTTTCCAGCCTCCCCTAGGGTAGACTTTCCGTGTCCACCAACCTGATTAAAGCGTCGGACATTCGCTTTCCGTCCTCTCAATTCCGTAAACAACATTAAAGTTGTGAGAAGGCAGTGAGTAGGACTTCCCTGACAGAGGCTATATACGCGTGACCATGTGAGAACATTTGGAGAGGGAGAGTGGACTCTCCCCACTCTCGACCGTACCAGGGCATTTAGGGGCAGTCAAATAATTAACAAATAGTTGCATCTCTATAAGAGAGTGTTCCATGTATCTTACTCTAATTGCTTACTACCATTTACAGTATTGAAGACGCTGATAAAATGTAGAATCTTTTGTTAGCACTGAGTAGCAATGCCAGGATGTTTGGGATGCATTTCTCATCCTCGAAATGCGAATTGCTGCTTCAGAACTGGCCTGCATCAACACCTGAACTAAGGATAGGAAGTGAATTAGTCGAATGCGTCGACAACCTCACGTATCTTGAAAGTCTGATCAGCGCTAATGGGTTGGTGTCTGACGAAATCTCAGCACGGATTCAAAAAGCTCGTTTGGCTTTTGCCAACTTACGTCACCTATGGCGAAGGCAAGATATCCGTCTATCAATTAAGGGACGAGTACACTGCGCAGCAGTTCACTGTGTTCTACTTTACGGCTGTGAAACATGGCCATTAAAAGTAGAATATGCTCATAAGTTACTAGTATTTGACCACAGATGCCTTAGAAATATTGCTCGCATTTGCTGGGATAATGGGATAGGTAGTAGTGAGGTTAGATACAGTGTATTAGGGAATGATGGTAAATCAGTTGAAGTTGTGAATCTTCATCGACTGAGATGGTTGGGCCAGGTGTGACGTATGCCTGAACACCGATTATCACGACACGCTATGCTGACTAGTATTGGTGATGGTTGGAAGAGAGTTAGGTGTGGCTAAACCAAAACGTGGCATCAGAGCTTGAGGTCACTGACTTCTAGTCTAAGCGATGTTGATAGATGCAGACTACTTGGTTGGGGTCCATGTGACTATCATAACCAATGGTTGGAGACTCTGAGTGACATGGCTGAGAATCGATCACAATGACGCAGGTATATACAGTCTTTACCTTCCCTTAAACCTTGAGATTAAAATTGCTGCATAACTTTTTCCTTCCTATACTATATCCTTATATACAACCTATATTTTATATACTACCACCACTAAATGAACTACTTCTATGAATCCAGTGTTCATCTTGTTGTACTAACGAGGTATGGCAACTTGGACCGATGCATATATGTGCCTGGTCCTACATTGTAACTGACTGACTGATTTACAGTGTTGAATAACAAGATAGTTTAAGTTATATTAAAAAGCTAGGAAGATTCAAATAAAGAAATGATGTCAATCTATGAACTGATTAGTTTTTAGACTATACCATCTCGATAGATGTATAGGCTTTCAAATGTAGATTTACACAATGATCATAATCAATGGTTGAAAAGACCTGAAATTAACTGATTCGTAGTATTTGCACCCATTCTATATCATTATTTATGTTCTAAGATAACTGTCATTTCGTACTTCAAATTTTAAACAAATGTAATATTGGATTGATTGTTTATATTAACAAAATTATAGTTTTCTTCTAATGTTCCAATGGATAGAAAATTGAATGTTGGACATTTGGCTGCTTAGTGTAAGTTGATTTCACAGAGGAAGAATAGTCGAATGTAGTGTTATTTGTTCTGTAAAGAAGTAGCTTACACCATGTCACGAAACGTCAGAAACTCACCTTTATTACTCATTTAGATATTTACAAATATAGTATTTTCATTGTTAAAATCGCGAACTGATCTTAGGTAGACCACCATTGAAAACATGGAAACACTGCACGGCCGTTCCGTCCAAATATAGGACTCCTCAGCAGCGTACACTCACGACCCGGCACGCTGGAATGGAACCCAAGAACTTTGATCTCGCGCGCAAACACAACCTCAAAACGGCTATGGTATGGTTAGGTGCTCGCATGCGAGACTGAAGGCCTTGAGTTCCATTCCAGCATGCAGGGTCGTGGTTATACACTCCTGAGGAGTCCCATATTTGGAGAAAACGGCCGTACAGTGCTTCCATATTCTCAAGAGTGGTCTATGTAAGATCAGTTCATAATTTCAACTTTGAAAATACTAAAATCTCCATAAACTCTCTATACTAATAATAAAAATGTATTATTATCATTCTTATTATATTCTTTAACAGGGGGGATTTCAATGATGATCATTTTATGCCACCTTTTTTTCCTGTTTCATCTGTTACTGGTCAAGGTATTGATAACTTAATGCATTTTTTAAGTCGTCTAAGTTGTTTAAATCAATCACCACTGCCAGCATTGTCTATATCATCATCATCGACAACTGATAGTCAAAGTTCAGAACAACAACAACTACAACAATCTATAGAATTCAATAAATTCTCCAATGAAAATCATATTCAATTAATGTTTAATAAAATTCATGAACAAATGAAAATCATTAAAACATATCGTGATTTTAATGGAACATTATTTTGGATTAATCAAGTATACACACAGATACCTGGTGTTTCTAATCCAGTTATAGTTGGACGTGTACAACTTGGTCAATTATTAAATAATCAAATATTATGGCTTGGACCAGATCAAGTAAACTTAAACAATTATAATTAATTAATTTGTTATCAGAAGGGGTTTTCTTTGTGAAGATTTAGTATTTTCATAGTTGAAAGCGTTAGTCAATTGAAGCTAGACCACTAGGGGAAACCTGGAAGCACTGAACGGCCGTTTCGTCCTATGATGGAACTCCTCAGCAGTGCTCCTCATCATATGCTCACTAGTGACTGACTTTGAGAGGTAAATTGAGTTCTAGTGAGAAGCAGTGACCAGTGGAGTTCAACCACGTCTGTTGTGAGATATCAATTCACTGAAGACAGTTGGTGAACGGCTGCTTAACTTCGTGGATTGTTTGGAGTTAGACATCAACACCATAGGATGTCGGCTCAGTGGTCTATCAGTTAAATGCTCTGGCGCAAGACTGGTGGGTCCTGGGTTCGAATCTTGCGAGGCGAGGTTGTGGATGCGCACTACTGAGGAGTCCCACATTTGGACGAAATGGCCATTCAGTGCTTCCATGTTTTCTATGGTGGTCTAACTTCAATTGACTCACGCTTTCAGCTATAATAATTTATCATTCATAATTATTAAATTGTATAATTTAATGAGATAATATGACTTTGTGAATACAAAACTTTACTTCAGAGAGACTGATCTACATTATCCCTCAGATTAATCATAGAGACTAAAGTAGTTGAATATTTCTTGGAAGTCTCGTCAATTCTGGTGGATTGACTTTTACCAACTTGTTGCCACCTATAGCATAGGCAAGATATCTGTCTATTAATCAAAGGATAAGTATAGAGCCCAGCTGTTTGTCGTGTTCTACTTTATGCTTGTGTAGCATGACCTTTAAAAATATAGGATATCCGTAACTTATTAAGATTTAATAATAGGATACCTTCGAATCATCGGTCGCTTGTACAGGGACTACGAATTGATTGGTACTGAAATTAAATTCAAAGTATTAAATAAGACTACCAATTCGGTGAATCTTCATGGGCTGAGGAAGCTGAAGCATATGTTTCTTATGTCCAACCACTGCCCACTTCGACAGGCGATATTGGCTGGTGTATCAGTAGGTTGGAAGAAAGCTAAAGATGATCAAACTAAAACGTATCATCAGTCTATGAAATCATTGAACGTCGGTCTGAGCCATATTAGTCTAATCCCCATGCAATAATTGCCACCCATAGTTGAATAAGTTGGTTGAGATGACTCAGATTCATTCACTATTTGTCTTCCTTTGTGTCCAGAATTTCGAGACTATTTTATTATTTCTTCTAGAATGATATCTTCTGTACTACTCACTGCCTTCTCGTGGCGGGGGTGTTCACAAAAGTGAGAGGACGAAAAGCGAACGTCCGGCGCTTTAACCGGGTTGGTGGATACGGAGGGTCCACCTAGGGGAGTTGGAAAACCCTGATTCCAAACCAATGGTGCACATGGGCTCCAGGATCCTGAAGGAACGAATGGCGTATGAACCAACTGTTGGTGACCGGCTACCATGGGACTGCATCTCCTCACGATGCTCCACTGCCTTGTGGATCAGACCTTTAGGTCAAAAGCTCCGGGTGTGGCCCTGTAAGAAAAGCACCAGCTTCAGTCTGGGCACCTGATCAGTATCGCAGCCCTCACACAAATCGAATAAGATTTCTGAGGTGCATATTTATCTGGTGCTTCCTTGTACTAATACTTTATGTGTTTAAATAAATAAATAAATAACCACTGACACTATTTCTCTAGTACTCATCTTGACGATTTCATCTCTCTTTGTTGATTTAGTGTGTTAACTTGAACCAATTCACATATGTACCAGGTTTTTATTATTTATTTATTTATTTAAACACATAAATATTGGTACAAAAAATCAGATATATACGCGCTATACAAATCTTATTTGATTTGTGTGAGGACTGTGATACTACCCTTGTGCACAAAGCGAAGCAGATGGTTTTCTTACAGGGACACACCCGGAGCCTTTGACCTAAAGGTCAAGTCCACAAGGCAGTGGAGCATCGTAAGGAGATGCAGTCCCATGGTAGCCGGTGACCAACAATTGATTCATACTCCATTTGTTCCCTCAGGATACTGGAGCCAGTCCATGTGCACCATTAGTTTGGAATCAGGGTTTTCCAGCTTCCCCTAGGGTGGACTTTCCATGTCCACCAACCTGATTAAAGCGCTGGACATTCGCTTTTCGTCCTCTCAATTCCGTAAACAACATTAAAGTTGTGAGAAGGCAGTGAGTAGGACTTCCCTGTCATAGGCTATATATGTGTGGCCATGTGAGAGCATTTGGAGAGGGAGAGTGGACTCTTCCCACTCTCGACCGTACCAGGGCATTTGGGGGCTACCAGGTTTTACATTGGTTATAACTGATAAACAAGGCTTTTTTACTTTATCTTTTTGACATAAAATTGTCCCCTTTTGTTTCTTTTTTTCTTGTAGTTTGGTGATTTCTATCCAGTTCAAATTGTTAGTTTAATGCATAATCGTCAAGTACATGATATTGTATACGCTGGACAATCAGCATCAATGGAAGTATATTTTTTACCAAAATCATGGAATAGTATGAATGATAAACAACGTCAAAACATTTTACATAGTATATCATCATCCACTTCAATGTCATTAACATCATCCTCTTACAGAACAATGAATGATCATAAAAAGTCATTTTCATTATTCGGTAATAGTAGTAATGATTACAATGTTTGTAATGGCGATAATGATAACTGTACTGGAAATGAAGAGAATATTCCACAGAATAATAAGAAGAATGTCAACAGTCTATCATCACCGTCAGATATTTACCAATTTTATTCACCAATAAAATTACGTCGTGGAATGATTCTTCTCACTTATCCAATGTTATCAACAACATATTCATCGTTTAAAACATCATCACCACCTGGATTATTACCATGTACCATCGATTCTTCCCCGCTATCATCATCATCTGAATTTATTTGGAATGAACAATTAAAATCTAAACATTATATTAATTTCACTGTCGTATGGACAGTTAAATTGAAATTAATTCGTCGTCTACCTATAGTATCTTTTAAATTAGGTAATCCACCGGTAATTTTAACACCAATTCCATCAATTGGACAACGTGTAAGTATTTATGCTGGATGTGTTTGTCAAACTGGTGTTGTACTAGAAACGATACATCAATGTAAACATGAACAAGAAATGCAACAGAACAACTTGAAAGATGAAATGATGAATAATAATGAGGTTCGTAAATGATTATTCCGATTGATAAATCATTTGGTTTTTTGTGTTTATTTTGTTCGAGATAGATAACATAGAACGTAAACTAACTGGTTGATACTTGCTTATTTACTTATGCCTGTTACCCCTCGTGGTGGAGCTATAGGCCGCCCACTCGATAGTCAAAGTTCATTAATATGTCATGGCCAATGGATAACTCATGAGACAATTATTCACACAAATCTCTTTGATAAACCGATTTCCAATAGATCAACAAACAAGGTTTTCTTTATTCACTCACTACACAACAATAAACGTGATTAACAATAAATATATTTTTTCATTGTTGAAAGCATGAGGCAATTTAAGCTAGACCACCGTAGAAAACATGGAAGCACTGGACGGCCGTCTCGTCCTATTATGGGACTTTTCAACAGTGCTCATCCACGACCTCGCCTCACGAGATTCGAACCCAGGACCTACCAGTCTCCACAAAACCCCTTCTGATAAATATATTCCTGTATATCCTAATCAGTATAAAAATTGCATTTCTGACGTTTCGTGAGTCAATGTAAGCCACTTCTTCAGAATACATTCGGTTATTCATTTACTCTAAAGAAGTAACTTACATCAAGTCATGAAATGTCAGAAATACAAATTTTCTAATCATTGGGATATATATATATATATATATATATATTGATTGGTAACTTTCTACCCAATGCTCAGTTTATTTTGAAACTATCAGATCTAACCTTGGCATTAATGTCTACAAAATAAACGTGATGTGTTATTTAATAAAAACATACAATTGAATAAGCTTTGTCATTGGATCCACTTTCCTAGTGGACTTATCGTCTGACTATCAGGTATAATTCTTAACAATGACTGTCAACTTAATGTGTTACATAAGGGAAGAAAATGAAAACATTATTGATCTGTAACTCTAACTTTGTCTTATTTTACATAACAGCTGATACTACTTGTGATATACTACTACAACTACCATTACTGTTACGCCTACCTACATAACCCCAATCATATGATTATAACAGATGATAGAGGATTATATTGTTGTTGTTTCTTCAAATACATTTCAAACGAATTTCCTTCTTTAGTCATTTGTTCATATGGACACATTTAAACTTATTATGTAAATTAACCTTTATACTGAAATAAAAACACCCCATTTTTTATATCAGTTAGTCAAGTTGATCTCAGGTGTTGTTAAAGGTACACGAATATGGTTGCCCACATCATGAAAGGGTGATTCTTTCCGGTAAACTTGAAAACGAACCTGAGTTTGAAGTGATCTCCACGACCTGGTATAGGGACCACAGTATTCAAAGGATAACTGCCTCAGTTTGACCTTATTTTTAGTAATTCTTAATGTGTTTTTCCTATGCTTTTCAATTCTTACCTCAGGATACAGAAACCCATGGAGCAAGACAAGGTGCACTATCTTTAGAGTCAAATTTTTTGAATAGCTTTCTTTTGCTGTATGAGGACAGCGTCTCCAGAGATATTGGTTGTCTGAAGTAAATTCCTTACTGTTCCCTCATCTCTGCACAATTGGTAGTACGACTTCATCCTTGTACCCTAAGTTTACTAATTTTAGTCTTACCGCTTTCCAACTGACTTGGTTGGTACAATCAGATTTTTTTTTAAACGAGTTTTCTAGCTATTATGTCTATTTTATTGTCTTAATATTCAAGCCTGACCATCAAGTCATGTTGTAGTAGCCATGGCCAGGTCATATATATATTTATCATTAAAGCTGCAAAATGTATGTCACCTACATTCTAACTAATTCGGTTATTACTCATCAATTGGATTGTTCAATTGTTAAGTATTTTGTTTATTTGTTCGTTGTTTTTCAGAATCATTTCAATGATACAACTTATATTTTATTACGTTTTACTCGTCATCCAGAATTAATTGAAATAGGTCGACAATTTATATTAACATGGAATGGAAATTTAAAAACTATCGGTTATGCTGTTGAATTAATTGATCCATTAAAACATCAATATAATCTTTCATTGAATACTCCTTCTAATAATGATACAACTACTATTGCCGATATTCACTCTCTCAATGATATTCATAATTATTCAATGATTAATACAATAGTAGATCCTGTTTGTTGGAGTAATCCTAAACAAAATTCTTTATCATTTCAAGAAAAAGATGATTATGATTGGTCTACTATACGAATGTCTTTTATTAATCGAACAATAACAATGAATTCATTATATCATTGTAATAATAATAATAATAATAATAATAATAATAATAATAATGAAACAATAGTTAATGATCCATTTGGATCTATGGATAATTTACATTCATCGTCATCATCATCTAATTTACTATCATCATCATTACCATCATCAACTATGGAATGTCATACTAATCTAACAAATAATGAACAATTGAAGATGTCAATAACGAATTCTTTAATTCCTATTAATCATTTAACAAGTTTATCAGAATTAGTACAAGGTCATGATATTGACGTCGACGACAACACTAATGATGATGATGATAATAATAATAATAATAATACAAATGATGTCAATAATGTTAAACAATCTTCTCAATCATCTATTGTACATCAAAAATCATCGATATCCTCATCAAGAGGTGTCACAACATCTACATCCTCATCTAATAATAAGAATAAACGACATCATAGACGAAAACAGAAACGTTAATTATTATTAGTTCTTTCATGATTTATTTATTTATTTATTGATAGCTGATTAGTCACTTAGCTCAGCTTACTATTATTATTATTATTATTATGGTGGTATTGTCTATCCTCCCTGTAAATGTTTCTAATCATTTGAATACTAAACACAATAAACATTATCACTATCATCATTATTCTTGAGTTCATTGTGTATACCTATTTGTTTTTTGTTCTATTTTTGTTTATTATTTTTCAGCACCTTTTTTTCTCTCATTATTTTCACTTATGTGTTTGAAAGTCATTCACTCTTACTGTTTGTTTGTGTGTGTAACTAAAATGATGATGATGATGATGATGCTTCATTGCATCTATATCATCTGTTCAACCAATAATCTTATACATCGTTATATATGATGTAATTTTGGTTTGTGTTTGTTTGTGTTTACTTCGTTCTATTTACTCTCACATGTAGTAATAATTGCATGCTCAACATAAAAGTTAACCATACTTACTAGTACTACTACTAATCACTGGGGGGGGGTTCTTTCCTATTTTCTATTACTTTACTATCTTATAAAAAACAATCAATTATACAGATAAACTCTTTCAATTATAATGATAGAAGTAGTCTTGTTTTGTTGTTGTTTCGTTTTTTTTCTTTCATTTCTCATCTTACTTTATTGCATGGATACTAGATAATGTGTGCTGTGTTATAATCAAACCAAATTAATCCAATTCAATAGGTAATAGTGAATTAGTTAGCATGTTTAAACGATTCCTTATCCAAGTCTTAGTTCTATTCTCATTTATTATTGTAAATTAGATTTTCTTCTTCTTTTTCTCCCCCCCCCTTTCTTTTTTCATAAAGTTTACTATATAACTTTCATTGTTCAAATTGTTGCCCTGTTATTATATACATATTAGACTGTTATTATTCAATGGGATTGTATTCAGTTAGATATTCATTTATTTTTTAATGTTTGTTTTGTTATTTATAGTAACTTAGACTGCATAAAATAAATAAATTGACTTATTTATTTATTTGATGGATAATTACATGGATCTCTTTTGATTGATATTTCATATGTGAACATACAAATTGACAAGAGAAAGAAAAAAGTCTGTTTTTTTTCGATTTGTTTATTGATTGATCCTGTTGTTTTAATATTTATCGATCAATCTATGGTGATTATTGTCATGTTTGTTTAGGTATTGTTGCTTACATTTGCTGAGATCACTGGGGTAAATAGTAGTGAGGTACGAATGAGAGTGGGGAGAGTCCGCTCTCCCTCTCGAAATGTTCTCACATGGTCATGCGTATATAGCCTCTGTCAGGGAAGTCCTACTCACTGCCTTCTCGCAACATTAATGTTGTTTACGGAATTGAGAGGACGAAAAGCGAATGTCCGGCGCTTTAATCAGGTTGGTGGACATGGAAAGTCCACCCTAGGGGAGGCTGGAAAACCCTGATTCCAAACTAATGGTGCACATGGACTGGCTCCAGTATCCTGAGGGAACAAATGGAGTATGAATCAATTGTTGGTCACCGGCTACCATGGGACTGCATCTCCTTACGATGCTCCATTGCCTTGTGGATTAAACCTTTAGGTCAAAGGCTCCGGATGTGTCCCTGTAAGAAAACCATCTGCTTCGCTTTGTGCACAAGGGTAGTATCACAGTCCTCACACAAATCAAATAAGATTTGTATAGCGCATATATATCTGATTTTTTTGTACCAATATTTATGTGTTTAAATAAGTAAATATTAGGGAATGATGGTAAATCAGTTGATGAGGTGATGAATCTTCATCGACTGAGGTGATTGGGTCACGTGTTACGTATGCTTGAACACCGATTACTATGACGCGCAATGTTAACTAGTGTTGGAGACGGATGGAAGAAAGTTGAAAACGTTGAATCAGTCCTTGAAGTCACTAACTCTTATTCTCACCCATGTCGATAGATGCAAACTACTTTACTGGGATCCGCGTGACCATCGTAACCCAATGGTAGGAGACTCTGTGTGACATGACTCAGAATCGACCACAATAGCGTAGGTGTATACACTCCTTGTCTTCCCTTAAAATGTGAAATGAAAATCGCTCTATATCTTTCTTTCTTCCTGTACTATGTCAATATAAACAATCTCTTTTTATATATATCTACCATTAAGGTAACTGCTTTTATGAATTAGGTGTTCACGTTGTTGTGCTAACGAGGTATGGCAACTTGAACCGATGCATATATGTGCCTGGTCCTACATTGTAACTGACTGACTGATTTACAGTGTTGAATAACGAGATGGTTTAAGTTATATTAAAAAGCTAGGAAGATTCAAATAAAGAAATGATGTCAATCTATGAATTGATTAGTTTTTAGACTATACCATCTCGATAGATGTATAGGCTTTCAAATGTAGATTTACACAATGATCATAATCAATGGTTGGAAAGACCTGAAATTAACTGATTCGTAGTATTTGCACCCATTCTATATCATTATTTATGTTCTAAGATAACTGTCATTTCATGTTATAAAGGGTATGCAAGTTCTACGTAATTATGAAATCTGTTGGACTCTTTTACACGTTCCTCCGTCACTTTGTTTAAAAGATAAAATTATGTAAATCCGGACGTATGTCTACAATACATCCATCTTTTTGAACCTGTTTAAAAGTCCAAGGAGCTGTTTTGATTTTCATATTAATCCCCGCCATTGTTAGGCTTGATTTACATGAAAATAGTTGCGGCGACCGATTTTCTTTAGAATTTTAAATGCTTTGAACATTATACGAAGTTCCTACTGCTCGTTCTGAGTTATGCGATAAAAGTTATTCATTTTTGCATTTCGCTCAAGTTTCCTCAGTGTTGATTGGTGCCTTCCCTAATCAAACCGTTCTCGATATGTTTGTAATTGAAGTTTGACTACTTAAACGTATTTATAAGTAGTTAAACATTATATTTCTAAAATGACGGTAACGACGAAATTCTATTGTCTACTAATAAACAGTATTTACTGTTTGGGGTCAATCATGTACTCGCATATATTCGTTGCATTTGCGTATAGGGTGTGCAGTTCCATATCTTGATATTATTTCTGTAATCCATTCAGTGAAATTGGGACTGATGTCGATATTCCTGTATTGCTTCAATATCTTCAGTCAAAAATCCTAGAGGAGAGCTAAATATGGAAACATTTTTCTAACGTAAATGAAAAGAAATTGAAACAATCGTCAGTGTTTGTAGTTAGTCTAAATGAGGTGTCATCTTGAAAGTAAGTAAATTGTTTTCATGAGGTTTCTTCAGGAAAACAATATATGAGTGTATATTATCTGAATGAAATCAGTCGGCAAGATATACTGGACCTATATTTCGTATTAGAAGGTACTTTTTCACCAAAGAGTATCTTCAACTTTAAGAGGCAATTCGTTGCTCATTGTGAAACTCTACTTACTCAGAGGTATTTGATTCTCAACTAACCTTAATTCGATATTTATCTGTATAAGTAACTTTACAGTCTGTAAAATGCTCCTTATGATTTTTACCTAACGATTGAGTAATGAGTAAAACCTAGAAATCAAAAGATGGAATATGATACATTTAGAAGGAAATAACATAACACATATTTTACAAACCTCGAAATATGACATATCCGAGTTTTGATTACTCCATCAAAAGGAAATTATATCTCTTAAGTAATTGGGTTACAATGAAATCACAATCCATGCTATTAATTGAAGGGAAACATACTGCTGTATTTTATGAATAGTGCCGAGTAAATCCACTTCTATACATTCAAAATAGGCTGTACAGAACAAAGTTATGGTGATTAACATATAACAAATTAGAAGAGTAGAAAAATTTTATCACAGGTAACAAGATGCATCCAAAACAGGTGAAAATGCAGATGTAACAAAGTGACATCTAGTCTATGGACATGATTATAAAACCCAAACTTCCTAAAGCACAAATAACGTCGGTTGGAAGGAAGACACTTCACATGAACACCGATTTTAAGGGTGATTAAGTTACAGATTTATTAAAGAGCAGAATTTCCAATTCTCTACATAAACGATCTCAGCAACTTTTCAAATAGTGATCTCCAAGCAATCAATAATATTAAGGATGAATTATCTCATCTGTTCAACTCTATTTGGAGAGAGCCCGCTCTCCCTCTTCAAATGCTCTCACATGGCCTCGCGTATATAGCCTCTCCCAAGGAAGTCCTACGCACTGCCTTCTCGTGGTGGGGTGTTGTTTGTGAAATTGAGAGGACGAAAAGCGAATGTCCGGCGCTTTAACAGGGTTGGTGGACACGGAATATTCACCTAGGAGAGTTGGAAAACCCTGATTCCAAACCAATGGTGCACATGGGCTCCAGTATCCTGAAGGAACAAATGGCGTATGAGTCAATCATTGATCACCGGTTACCATGGGACTGCATCTCCTCATGATGCTCCACTGCCATGTGGATCAGACCTTTAGATCAAAGGCTCGGGGTGTGGCCCCCTTAGAAAACCATCATTTTTGGTTTGGGCACCCGGGTAGTATCACAGCCCTCACACAGCTTCACTTATCTTGGGAGTCTCATCAGCCCTTGTGGTCTGGTGTGTGACGAAATCTCAGCACGGATACAGAAGGCTCGTCTAGCTTTCGTCAACTAGCGCAATTTATGGCGTAGGCGAGATATCCGTCTAGCAACAAAAGGACGGGTTTACTGTGCAGCAGTCCGTTCCGTCCTACTTTATGGCAGCGAAACATGGCCGATAAGAGTAGAGGATATTCGTAGGCTACTAGTATTCGATCATAGGTGTCTTCGACGCATTGCTCGTTTATCCTGGGACCACCGGGTAAGTAATGCAGATGTTAGGAAACGAGTACTAGGTAAGGATGGCAAATCGATTGACGAAGTAGTGAAACTTCATCAGTTGAGATGGCTGGGACACGTGTTACGTATGCCCAACCACCGACTGCCCCGACGTGCAATGCTTTATGGTGTAGGAGTAGGTTGGAAGAAAGCTAGGTGCGGCCAGACCAAAACATGGCACAAATCCATGAAGTCGCTGACAATTGGACTGGGTCATGTTGGTAGGCGTAGACTACCTGGTTGGA